ATCAGATCTTGAATTAAATTAATTGATTACATTAAAAATGAACAGTAAGTAAACAAAGCTGTAATGTATCTAATTTTAAATTGTTATGCCTGACTGTAGCTTAGTAGAATATTGAACAAACACTGAATTGCTGTCAGTTAATTTCAGCAGTTAAAGACCATAATAATGTAATATTTAACTACATTTGGATTAAATCATTATACCGCTGCACAGGTATAACTTAATATATCACAATTAGTATGTAACTTTTAGTGAGAATTAAGAACATGACTTATGTATAAGTGTTCTTGTACAATAAGTGAATAATTTTGCACAGGAAGGGCAAAGTAAAGTGATGTAGCTACTGCTATGTTGCATATAGTTAGTGTACAAGAAATAACAGTAAATAAATTAGAGTGGATTATTAACACTAAATCTGTTCAAAATGTGCCAAGTTTATTATCCTGTATATCCTTATTCTGAGTAAAAGATAAGTAATACCATTCTGACCCGTAATTAATCCTCTCTCCCCTTTAAACGTTTTTCTTCTACTATTAAATATATCTACATCAATGGAATTTTTCTCACATATACAGGCAACTTGTAATGACCAGTTCAACAACCAAACTTCACATGGACCTATACTAATTACTTAATATGCAGTGTGGTCAAAAAAGAACCTGTTTTGGTCAATTCTCCACATTCAAAGCGCCCAAAAGAAATGAGCATTAATTTGACAATCGATATCAGTCAAACACAATCGTAATCCGTAGTAAGTATCAACTAATACCCGAGAAGTGATTGATAAATTGTTCTTGGTTCCTGTTGACGATTAAACCGGAGTTCACTTTCGATCTCGAGTGGGCGATATTGAAAGTAGGCTAATTGACCCTTTACCACCAACACACCCCAAGATAGGGTTCAAGATAACTTAATTTATATTCTTAGCTCGTGCATTGTGCGCTTGCTGTACTTTCGAACTGCTTTGAGTACATTACATCAGTCGATATATTTCACTCCTCCATGGTATCTTGAGCGCGCGTCAAAAAAATGAAAATAACTTTCAAACGAACAACAATGGACTCCAAAACTCGGTTTGCCTTGAGGATGCCTAAACTTGTTCGTTTCGAAATTCCAAATAATAAACACCTCGCGCAATGAACGACAAAACAGTACGAAAAATTAGAATTTCTACCTCTTAGTTGATGAAAAGGAAAAAAATTAAACGGTAGAATCTTCAACTTCGTCGCAGTCTTCCTGGGTTATGTGTTAAACTACCAGAGACTTCGTGTTTTGACAAGATATTCAACGGTAAAGTTCTAAGAGCGTTAAGGAGAGAAGTAAACACAGGACAGGGCCCACTCTGCGCATGTCTGAAATTTTCCTTAACTCACGGAAACTCACGTGCATACGCTGTTCTGTGAGGCATATAATTATCGCTTACTCGGCGAGCACGTAGATAAGAAACCAGGGATTCAATTCTGTGAATATTTTTAGCTTTCCTTTCTCTGACTCGACGGCCAGCGCGGCATCTCCTGTAGGTCGATGATAATGGCGATGAACAAGGCCAGTGAGAAAATCGATGAAAGACGTCTGAATAGTGGGAACCACAAATTCCAACAACGCGGGTGTCACCGTTACACTTGGGACTAAATACAGGAATGGCTCCGACCTGTGATTGGATGATAAAAATAGTAAAAGTTAATAAGTTATATCTTAACTCTTGTTAACTGCGTGTCTCGAATCGGAAAGAATGAAATATCAATGTGAAAACACCGATGAGTCAAACAAGAAATGGCTACTTACATTACGAAGAGAAGGCAGAGTCTATCTTGTTCAGCGAGGTCGTCAGCGATATTCCGGCGATGAAAAAGTCATCCACTGACAAGCTCCGCTGACAAAACTCATTTAGTCAGTTTAGGCGGACGACCAGAGACTGGAGCCATTCGTCTATTTCACCGCAGACAGGAATGGCTCCAACTCATGCGTATATCAATTTTTTTTCGTTCAGGCTAAATAATTCATACACTGAGATAAAAACTGAAAGAGCGATTTATTAGGTTCTTCTTATGTTGAAGTCTACAGTGCTTGCAAATGAAGCCCTCTTTTATTACTACAGGGCCATGTAATTTCTAAGTTTTAAAAATAAGGTAGCAACTGCATGTCACGTTGTGAAAATAATCACGCAATGTTGCGTGACGCTGCGACCGTTGTTTTAAATTTACAGTATGCCCTGCTGGAGAAATATGGCTTGGCCGCAATCGAGGGAGTTTTTTTTTCGTGGAAAACTGATTTTCTAGGTTATTGTTCACATGAAGGACAAATCCATTCATCGGGCTCTTCATCTGTTTTTGCACAGCACCTAAAAGAAAGAAAGTCGCGAATTAATATTACTTGGTAATTTCTAACAACTCCACTTGACCTAAAAAGGAGAAAACAAAACAAACCAAAAAAACGTCTTATCAGTCAAACCAGTGGCAGTAGCTCTCGCACTGAATCATGTCGAAGTACCTTGACTCTTTGCAGTGATGGTACAACCAATCTTCGAACAGATTTCGGCTATAACAAGAAAGAGTAAAATGATTTTATAAAACTTGCTCTAAAATTAAAGAAGGCTGTTCATCACGTGACGCTGTATTGGAACGAGTATATCTCGTTTGCTGTTGTATCACACTACTGTTTTAGACAAGGTATTTATACCACTTAGATTTGAGAAAGAATGAGTATAACATGAACCACATTTTCTACAAAACACAAGCCATCCTAAGCTAATTTGCCAACTGCTTTCTAAGCATCATCTGTAAAGAACCGCTTCAATTTTTCGAATTTGAAAATTTTTAGCTAAAACCGTGGCTCCCGAAAATATTTCTCACCTTGCTTAAAAAATTTAAAAAAGTAATTTTCAAATTTTTCACAACTTTGCCTATTCCTGCTCGTAAACGAATTCGCTGAAGGTTGTAGCAAGAACAACTCAATCCTGAAGCTGGAACATATATTTTTTAAAGCCTTATGTCCTATGTGAATACAAAGAGAAAGAAAAGACGATGTTATTTGTAGTGATTTGAAGCTCAAATTGTAAACTACCTTCTATTATCGTAACGAATATCTCACGATCGTCTCCACATACAACTTTTTGATTCATAGAAGTAAGAAATCAACATCTGAAGACTAACTTCAAGGTTTGTAGTCTCATGTGCACATCGTGATCGTCAGTAAATCAATTTCAAACTTTAAGTTTTCGGCCTATTTTCGCGTCTTGTTCGCTCTTTGATCATTAAAATATCTTCATCCGAAGAGCCAGCAAACGCCACGAGTATCCGCAGAGTTCGAAATGGCGGTAAACTTATCCTACTCTTTCATCTCTTTCCAAAAACATGACAAAAAGGTGTCGATCGCCCAGTTTAAAACCCGCGGAAGCGCGCTGAAAATATCAATACGGTGCCGAACGCGCCGAACAAATCTTATTAGCGCATGCGCAACGGAATGCCCCTCTGCTATGCTATGCATAACTTAAGTTATGGCACTAAAGGTTATGCAATGCGAGAGTTTAGTGCCAATTAAGAAGTCACGATTGTCATAACTTTGGCCTCGAGATTATGTTGACATATTTACCGTTGTACTTATTTCCCCTTATTGAAGATAAGTCCTCTGACGTAATGCGATACAGTGGTCACTGTAACAGCTAAACGCACATTTCATACTGTCACAGAGCACTCTGTTGTTATCCCGCAGAGCGCTTCGAGCTGATCTGAAAAACAATGATCTTTGAAAACCAAATTCCTAACGTGAAACATACGAGCCCTACATCACATGAAAGCCGTGCTCGCTTTCCCTCCTATCTTTCTATTACCTAAACAAAAACCACCGACCGAGACACAGGGGTGAATAATCAGCAACCATAGTTCGTCGGTCTATTTTATCCTAGGATCTCCTCAAAGTCTGTTGCGTTTAAATAAAACCAGTCCTCTTGTAATCGTAGACGAATGGACTTTCATGTTGAAGATTGGATGACGCTGGTAAAGATAAAACATATGGGTTCCTGAACCATGGATTGTCAATATATACAATGTATTTGTTGTTGTTGTTTTGTGTTCTATTTTTAGCACTGTTTCTAAATCACTGTAGGATATTTCGCTCTTGTGGGTAGATTGATCATAATTTACCCTGTTTATGGCAAATTCACACAGTGATTAAATCGAAAATTGGGGCAAAGATGGCTATGGCAAGTCAGAAGGATACAATCCACTTAAAGGATGAATTTCACTGAATTTACCCCGTTTTTCTATAAGAATTCACTGATTAAGTGGAAAATCAGAGTAAAGATGGCTTCGGCAAGTCAATGGGATATATTCCACTTAAAGGATGAATTTCATAGCATTTACCCGGTTTGAAATTCTCAAAATTCGAGCGAGGAAATCTTTACGATCTTCTTACACTTTTGCCTTGCTTCTCTCCTTTAGTTAGGAAGTGACACGCAGAAGATCACGACATACTTTGATTGGAAGAAATAAAACCGCATTCTACTGGTTATTAGGTGTGAGGACATAACTACAACGGAAGACACAACTACAACGCTACAGACATACGAAGTTCTGTTTTTTGGAGCCTGGGAATTACTCGGCCCAGGCTATTCTGGATTTCACGCTTTGCGATGGTTTTTAGGGATCCACCGGAGGATTGGTACACATGAGGTTCTCTTTTCACATGTAACTTTAGCATAACAACCAAGATAAGTAGAGTGTTTTGCTAGTTTTGAAAAAATCGAGGCAAAGCAGTTGTTCTCCAGCAAGGCTAATATGTAGAAATTTCGCTCTCAAGGTCTTGCCGTTCTTTGAATGAATGAAATAATAAAATCACTTCCACGTCTTTTTCTCTTTTTTTCTTAAGGTGACATTCAAGGCCATAAGCAGGAGACTGGTATCCTTGGAGATATTGACCATGATTTTATTAAAGCACCGCTTCAAAGTGGAAAGCCGATCGAGTTTTACGTCGAAGAGTGCAATAAAACAAAAGGTAATGATATGAATGAGTTTTACCAAGAAAATAATTTGCTTACTGTAACTTTTTTATACAACGTAAACGCAATATTTTCAGAACTGAAATAATCATTAATCCGAACATCAGTATGCATATTCTTCATATTGTTCTCACACATTTTCTAAGGTGCTGACAAGGAGAATTTGTTTAACAATCAAGAGCTGCGTTAGTTGGTGATTATTTCCTCTAACATTAGTATGCATATTCTCCACACTATTCTCCATACATTTCCTGTTAAAGGTGCTGACAGAGAGAATTTGTTCAACAATCAAGAGCTTCTTTAGTTGCGGATCTTTTCCTCTCTTCTCGTAACCTTCATTTCTTGATTCAGGGGTGATATTGTTGGGAGAAATTAGATGCTAGTCACTCTTAGGATCTCGAGCATTCAGGTGGAAATGAAAAGTCTGCACTCTGATGCTCCATCAGCGAGCCACAGTGTACTGTAAATTTAGCTAGGCCGTTACTTTAACGTACTATGTATAGGTTTCTTCGAGTACATCCAGCCGTTTCTGAGTCAATCAAGTAAAGAAAGTTTCTCACGACGTGTGCTATCCAATAACACATGCATGATACGTAGACTGTCCAATTACACAGTCCAATTATAAGCCTGACGCCCATACTTTCCCACTAGAGCTCAAATCCGGCTGATGATTGCCAATCATGTTCAAGAATTTTGTAATGGTTTTGATCAGCCAATGTAGATTTAAATTATAAACAAATTATCAAATTTTGTCAAGGCATTTTTGTCAGCCAATCTCTCTGTTGGTAAGATTTTTTTAATTAATTAACGTTTCCATCAAAGATTTTTGAGTTCTTTTCATAGTCTTTTGAAGTTTTATCTCTTGGTTTTATATAACATTAAAAGGAAAGACGCGAGCGCTCCTTGTGGATCTTTGCAGGTCTCCTGGAAAGGAAGCGATGATAATGGGAGGGAATCAAAGCGTTTTCTTTTTTAACGTCCGTATACATTACTCACTATTGCTGAACTTTACAGCTTACCAAATGCTGATCGATAGCATTATCGACATACTAAGGAGGTCCACTGGTAATGAGAATGAAAACGCGTTGAGTAGCCGGGCACTTTCCATTTGGTGAAATAACGCGGCTATAGCGCGGAGCGTTTTGAAGACTTTTTCCTGCAAGTGAACTATACCGAAAGGAGATTCTATACCAATCAAGTAATAATACAAGTTGAAATATTATATTCCTTCATCGCAAACATGATCAATTCTCTTTTGCTGAACAGTGAAAGGACGTATTAGGACGCGCGCGGGTCAAGCAAATGTACCGCTGAGAAACACTCATCAGAAAACTTTGTAACGTACGGAGACCAGTCTTCGCAATCTTCATTTATCCAGAGGGGGCCACTTCATGGGGATCAGTGGTCGTCAACATAGTATAAAAGGGGAGGGGGGGGTACCACAGAAAATTGATTGTCAATTAAGTGACAATGAGAGGGGAATCATAAGAATATTATAAAACCCGTCTGGGGGATATCAGGTAAATTTTTACCGTGACACCGTGACCAAAATCTTCCGAACTCCTCCCCCCACTCACCCCAGGTTGTATACAATGACCGGTCTCTAAACTGGGGATACACATTCAAGACGACTGCGTCAGTGAATGTTTGGCATGTAAAACGATGGATGGTTGGCATGTGCACCCCAATTTTTTTTTCCATTTGTTTCAATTCCGTCTTCCAGAGGACTTTGTGATAGAATGCTAACTGACACTTGACATCAAAAACTTTGCCATAACAACTGAAAAATCATGGGATCGAGAATTGTGACAATGTCTGTTACGTAAACAAACTATTAATGTTTCAAATTTGTTTATAAAATTTTGCCTAATTTGTCTCATCTCTTCCTTGCTTGCCTACTTTGTCTACGATTCAGAGGAATCAGCTGTTCCATACTTATGCTACAGACGCTATGTGTAAGGCTGGAATCCCTGTTCTTGATATTTACCCGTTGACCACTGCTTGGCCTGAAGGCACCCGTGATTCCATGCACTACATTGATAAACCATTGGAGCCTGCAGTTAGAGCTTTGGAGCGATTTCTTACCGAAGTATCACTGAGATAACGGAGTTCTTCAGTGATGCCTTACAGACCGTGAGAAAGAGAAGATCATACTGTTACCTTCTATAAGAGAGGATCACTGCTTTAGTTAAGCCATAACTCTCTTGTTAAGATGTTTCTTTGCCTTTTGATTAATACAAATAGATTACGTTTTTATCAACTCAAGGGCGTTTTCCCACAGTTGCACAATAGCTTGTGGATCTTTCCTCGCATTCAAGTCATCTTAGTCCAATAATAATCATCATCTTTTCCCTAATGCATTAAAGCCGTTCATTTTCAAGCAATATTCTCGAATACAATGTTGAGGTTTGCCCAGGAACTGGGATAGACATTTCATACCTGTTAGCCTTAGCTTGCTTAAAAAGTCATCTCGATACGACTCCTTATTGTGTCGTTAGTAAGCGACAGGGCCTCTATTAACACGATATAGTTGTCTCCTAACCAAACTCACGTGCAAGTAGTTTCATCTTTAATTTGTTAGGTGACCATTGCTGGACTTCTGTGGAATGTTCAGCTTCCCATTTTGATCGCACAAACGGTACCTCTAAAGTGATGATACCATAAGATTTAGGATCTTCATTATAAAACCATGCAGACTTTTTTTTTTAACACCTGTTTACTGTAATCAAGTCAGTTATAACATAGATATATTCCACAGCTTTCTAGAGGTCGTTAAGCCTCTGAAAATCTGAAATAATGGCATGTAACTTAAATAGAAATAATCTGATGGGTTTCGACAGTAGTCGTTTATATCACCGGCAGTCTACTGAAACTTACAGGATTTTTATAGCCCCTTACGTGGTTATAGTCACTTATATCACAATCAGCAGCCCCTTTTGAACACAAGAAATGTTATATATTTGGAGTCAGGTGTTATGTGAAAGATAAACTGACCGTGCTTTTACGAAATAACACAAATTCCTCTCTTTTGTGGGGGAGGAGGTGGTCTGTTTGCGAGAGCAACAATTTGCTTCTGAAGCTCGACAATTTGGTCATTTCTTTTTTCCATTGACTGCCGCATCTGCTCCATTGACTCCTTAAAGGTTTGATTCTGCTGGACAATTGCCTCTCGATCCTTTCGCAGCTCCTCCATGTTTGCTGTCATCATATTGTGCATTTGCTCCCTTTGGGCTTGCATGTCCGCTTTAAACTGCTCTTCCAAGCGTTTCCTGTCTTCCTCTTGCTTAGCTTTCAGAATTTCCATCTGGAACACAAAACAAAATTCGATAATTGACATCTAAAACATTTTTAAACTTATGTCTACTCAATCTTTCAATTGAACTGGAGCATAGGAGAAAATGGCAATTAATCAGACTTGGGGGGGGGGGGGGAATAGGGACATCGGTAGAATGGTATTAGTATTGCACAAACATGGAAGTAACCCACGAAAAAGTGATCATGGATGATGTGCTAACACTTTGTATGTTACCTTCAAGTAACACCCGTGTAAAGTAAAGAAACAAAGCAAAGACAACAAAAAACAACGGCAACAACGGCAACAAACAAAATCACCCAATAAACCAAAAAGCAAACGAAAAAAAAAAAAAAACAGATACGAGGAAACCCACCTCTTTTTCTTTTGCACGCCTCTCCTCTTCCAACCGAGCATTCTCTTCCTAGAGTTCAATCATAAATCGTTTCGCATCACTGATATAGGTTGCAATCGGTATTTCAATGAGAACCAACTTTTGCCGCAAATGCAGTGGGATTTGTAGCATATTCCATAAACCATGTTTTTACCATTACTATTAAAATTTTTGTAATCACCAATCGTCATCATTATTAGTACTAATTTTTACATAATATACATAATCTGCACAATAAAGTAAAATTTCAGACGATAAATTGTGCTTTAAAAGCTTTATATAATTTTAAAACTGAGGTAAGAACATACAGGAAGAAAAACACGACGCCTCCGACAAAGGCATGATACCAAATCCTGCTTTTGTTTTTCCAATGCTAGCGCTTGAGGCAAGTTTGTACAATTACCATTAAGCTGCTCTACTGTAACTCCACGCGCGACAAATGTTTACCCTCAAAATTCTTTGACACAAGCGTAAGAAAACAAATTTAGGGAGACTGATCGAAATAAAAGACATAATCAGGTAACACGTAGGTATGTGCGTGGGCAATAGTATCTCTTTCGCTAATTATTAAAAGTGTCACCTCTATTCGTTGTCTCTCCTGCTCCTGACGAGCCTTTTCTTGTCTTTCGAAAGCCAAAGACTCGTCGAAGTCTTTCAGCTGTTGTAGATACGCCATGTGTTTCTCCATCTCTGCCTGCATTTCCTACAATGCCCAAATAAGAGTTTAGAAGACTTATTTGGCTTCACGAATAAACATAGGGATTTGTAGTGATATTTCCTATAACTTAAATCCGATTATTCGTTTTGCCGATGGTTTGCCCACTACTTTGCTTATATCTTGCTCGACTGCACTGGACTGATTTGAACGTTTTCAATTGATCAAAACAAATCCCACATACACCTACCGGATGAAACTCGTAAAACACTTGAGCGCAAATGTCCTTGGCTCCCTTTGCGTCACGTTTAAATCCCTGTTCAATTGCTGAGTAGCCACCAATGATCTGAGCAAAGCTCACTGATGCTCCATCCTTGCCGCTTAGCTCCCTCAGAATGGGGTCCAAGTGTTCTTCTTTCAAGGCCCTCAGCAATTTATGGCATTGTTCTTTCGTTTGTCGATTGTTCTCATCCTGCCATCGTTTCAACGCCTCGTTCATACTCTCCTAAAAAGAAATAACGATGCTTATTTCATAAGAATGTCGTAGTTTTAGTATGAAACGTAGGCGTCCTCAGGACACTAAAGTACTGAGTGTTCCTAACAGGAGCTGCACTTATGAACCTCTGAGCCAATACTAACTCATGAAAAACTGCTGATTTGCCACACCTGTACTCAAAATGCCATTGAATTCATGAACTACCCACGGATGAATATCCTTCAATCTTCAAAAGCTTGTTAGCTCATTATGCGAGAAAATTTTTATGATCAGCACATTCATAATAACACTGTAATGTTGCAGTCGTACCATGAGCTCATCCAAATACTTCTCGCTACTCGAGGCGGAAACTCCAACAGTTTCTTCCTGAAAAATCCTCATGCTCTCTCCAATAGCTCTTTCCTGAACCTGACGAATTTTATCGCTGTCACAAGGCAGTAAACCATCCAGCTCTGACGTCATTACACTTTCATACACCTTTAAGGCGGCATGTTTCGCCTCAGTGCACTTAGTGTGCACAAAGGTCTCCCACGCACTCTGCACACTGGGTACTGTGCCAGGAGTGTTCAAGGCAGAAACGTAAATATTAACGAGAGCTGCCAGAGCTATGATTATAAAAAGATAAAATATTAATTTCAGTGAAAAATTATATTTCATTCATTGCGTAGTCAAGATCAAAGGGAAAAATAATTTACGGTCACTAAATATCTTTGACGGGTATGACAAAGGCGGGTTTTCCATCTCAAATTTCGTCTCTTTTGTACAAATTCTACAAAGTTATAAAACGTTATAAGCTTAGATTTTATGGGATTTATGAAAAACGCAAATTTTTGAGCTGTGCTCTAAAAATTTACACTCAGAGCTATTTTTTATAATCAGAAACTCTAGACATCTGGCGCTAAAAAAGCTGTCTGCATCTATGATCAATTTTTCTGATGACTATTTTCCATATAAGGCAAAGTCACAAAATAAACGGAAAAAAGGTGTCCTTGCTTGACATGAATGACTCTGAAGGAAATGATCCCAATTCAATTCCCAAGGCCTTTTCGTTGAAAATAAGTTATGAAGTAAGGATCTGATTTTCATTTGTCCTGGATTTTCAACTAGGCCGTGAGAGGTCATACTGTGCACTGCGTCCATTCCCTTGATGCCATATACTCATTAGAAAGTTTCAATTTAGTTTGCCTGAATTAAGTAGATTCAGGGCGCAGAAGGGGGGGGGGGGGAGGGTAAGGGGGAGAGGGCTGAGGAATCCACCTACCTTCACCAGTTACGTATTCTCCATCGTTAAAACTGCGCTTAGGTGATAGCCTAGACCTAAGCAGTGCCTTGAACTCCTGAACCCCTCGGACAAATGACTTGTTCACGTCTTGCTGCACCTCGTCTCTGTTAAGGTTCAACACCACTTCCGGGTCTGATGAAGGCGGAGGAAGCTTGAAAGCGTCAAACCCAGGGAAGAAGTTCAAGATACTCTCTGCCACTTGATTTGATTGGTCGCCTTTTGAAGTTGGATCGGACAAGAAAACCTAGATGCAACAAAACTAACGTCAATTGAATTACTTCCGTATTTAAAGATGACAGCCGTACTTCAGAACTGAAAAGCAACTCTTCGTAATGAGCACTGTAGCTCGTGAGCGTGTGTTTTTCCTTCCTCTCTCTACTGTTCAATCTGTTAAAACAATGAAATTCATGTCAACGATCCTGAGTTTTCCTTAATGGTATTATCCAAGAAAAGTACTGTACAGTAAAAGTGGAATTCATGCCTCAATGACATAACACTTATTAATAAGTTACCTCGAACAAATTGGCATAAAGTTATCCTTGAAAACAAACTTTATAAACCCACCCTTGTCAGGAAGTAATCCTTGATGCTGTGACAGTCCTTTGGAAGAGACAGCACAACATCTCTTAGCAGCCAGACGAAGAAGGGAAATGTTTTATGAAATTGATTTGCATCAGCTTGCAGACTTTCTCCACCAACTGGATCACTCGTTTGTGCTGACGAACGAAGCTGAATTCGCTGAGAAAGTTTCACGATGAAGCTGTGATCAATGTTAAGGATTCGAGAAAAAATGATAGAAGAAATCATCTGACTTGCATTTTAAATAGGTAGACAATACAAAGCTACCCTCTCCATATTGAAATCCAGATCTGTTAGATATCTATGCTCTTCACTGCGACGATGTCAGTGGTTCACAGTGCCTAGCTGATCTCGTGTAACAGTAATTTCTCTCTCTTTTTTTTACACTACATTTTCGTAATTCACGCACTTCGCTCGATTTGTCTCCCGAGAAATTGTTGCAGGAGGTCAGAAGATCTCTTCGTAACCAATTTGATTTGCAGGACGTCATTTACAGTGACTTAGAATTGCTATTTAAATTATACAAAGAAAATACTTTTGATAGCCAGTTCGATATGAAAAGTGGGCCGTAAAAAGTGGTAGAAGATTTAATTATAATATAGAAGTTATCCGTGTTGGCACCAACGTGGCAAAGAAAAATATTTTCCTACCTTGAGAAAAATAATTTCATCCATTTCGTTTTCTCTTTCAAATGCTTCTTATTCGACGACTGAGCTCAAAATCTTTCGTCTTTCACATAAAAAATACATAATTATTTGACTTCCTCGACTTTCTGACGTAGTCGATATTTCATTTTCGGTAGAAACTCAATCAAGATGCCTTTATCTAGTCATCGGCAATACTGAAACTGAACTGAGAGTTAAAGGAGGTCATTACTCCAGATAAACATCTATTCTAAGGCTCAAAAAGCAAAACCTCTGATTAAGGATACTCTAGTCCGTCAAGATCAGTTCTGGTCGGTACACCAGCAGAGTTGTAAATCAGTACCGAAGCCAGAAGAATGGTCAGTGTAAAAATACAGTGATCGTCCGATCCATCACTTGACACGGCGTCTATGCCTTCAGAGTCAAGCAAAACCACTGTGAACTCCTTTCCATTGGTGTCCTTTTCAGAAAAGAAAAAGAAAAAGAAAAAGAAAAATAGAACGATACCGGAAATGGAATAAAAATTTACCCGAATTTGTTTCCTTTAGCTTCCAGAAATGGAAGAATATTGTCGTTTATTACCTTCTATATCAGAAACTAGATGAAATTACAATTACATTACATCATAAAGAATTGAACTAAATTGTTAATTTTAAGATGAAAATAGTTGGCAAAAAAAATTGTAGTAGATCAAACAAAATAGTGACGAAAGAACGGACTCTGACTAAAATTCACCTCAACAATCGAATGCTATTTATTGAAACAGCCAAATTTCAGAAGACTGTAAAGAAAAACCATCATAAGTTTTGCAGGTTGTGGTGTATATCTAAAACCCAGGAACAGATGTAGACTATGTTTCTGTCAGGTCCACTTTTGCCGGCTGTGCAGGTTTGTGTCCTGACTTTCTCAATTTTCAAGCTAAAAATTTTCTGCATATCTTGCTTTGCTCCTTAATCTATTTTTCCGATTGAATCGGTAGTTAAAGAGTTTGGGTATTTTTCGTCACCGAATCTGTTGTTCTAAAATACCTTAAACTTATCTGGAACAATCCACATCCAGATTCCCATGGTTTCCGGATCCAGAAAATGTCCAAGAGGAAACACTTCTCCCTGATCGAATGATTTACTCAAGATGTACGATTTTCCTTTGCGACAAGGACCAGCGATGGAAACCACGCATACTGGACCTGAAGAAGTAAAAGAACAGGTATTGTTGACCCTGACCCAAGTTTATTAACGAGAGGCAACGATAAGAGAATGCTATGACCTGCATCTAATTTCTCCTTACAATATCATCCCCGAATTACACATTAAGGTCCCGAGAATAAAGGAAATGATCACCAACTAAAGAAGCTCTTGATGTTTAAATAAATTCTCCTTGTCAACACCTTAGGAAATGTCTTAGGAACAGTATGGAGAATACTGAGACTAATTTAAATCGGAAATATCTAAAGCGTTTTGTATTTCTTTTTTTATACTTGGTCTGGTTCGTTTCATTTTCTTCTTTCTTTTTCTTTCTTTTTCTCTTGTTGTTAAGTAGTCATCCTCGATGTGTCAATCATCTTCTCAAAATACGCTGAAACACTCAGTGATAAATTCATGCAGTATTCTATTTAACAAATAGATTCCAAGTTGCCGTGCGTCTGTTCAGTAATAGATCACAGAGGACGTCAAAATGTGGTAAGAACAAAAAAGTGGCACATGAGGCGCAGCCGAGTGTCACTGATGTTCTTACCACATTTTGACGTCCTCTGTGATCTCTTACTGAATAGAAGCACGGCAACTTGGAATCTATTTGTTTTATATAATAAAGAATTAAAATATACGGAAAAAGAGTTTTAATGATGACGTCATCTATACGTCTGTCCTCCAATAGATCATAAGTGAGAACCAATCAGAATGCATGTATAACTGAGCTTATTATATAATGAATGATAACTCTACCTTTGATGCTCTTGAGCCTCTCTATGGCTGCTTCAATAACACAAAGGCTTTCTCTGGGGCCAGCGCTCTTGCTGTACTCCCCTGTCTGTGCGTCCCATTTGCAGTTGTTCGGAAGACAAAGGGGAACTGCACATTGTTCAGACATTGCGGTTTTAAAAGAAGGTTGGTTTTAAACTTTTCTGCGAAGGAACATCAAGGTTTTTATGTCAAGTTTGGTGAGAAAATACTGAACGCATGGAAAATTTCTTTGACAATGATGTACATGAAAAAATTACTCGCCTTGGATTGGCTAAAAACGAGTGCATCCTGTAACACGAGTGCAAAGTTGTAACGCGAGGAGTGCAAAATTGTGACACCAGTGCAAATTACCAATAGCGTGTACGCTTTTAAAATTTCGTCTTTCTTGCCTCTGTGACGTTTTTTCACGTACATTAGTAGCAAGTAATAACATGATTTCTCTTGCAACTTGAGGTAATAAGCACTTGTTAATATGTCAAAGACTACAAATTGCGCTTGCCCCATGGGATCGTGCAATTTCAATTTTGTTGTCTTTGAAAAATTTACTCGTGCATATTAACACCAAATCGCACTCGACATCATGGTATTACCTATGCTGAAATGCATCAAGCTAAAAACATCTTTTAACACTTAATATTGCACCACATTTTTCCACCTTTTAGAAATTCTTCATGCATGAGGGTTAAATAATGGAAAATTTTGGCTGAGTCATTCAAAAGACAACTAGTTAAATAAAAGCTGGCGTCGATATTTAATTCGCCTTACTTAATTTATAGTCAGTTAAACCAATTCCTCTTTATTTCCTTCCGTTTTGCCTTACACCAAGGAGATACCCCTGAAAATTTTCGCCTTGATTGACGGTTATACACAATAGAATTCTCATTTTGGATTCTGTGCAACGGCTTATGAGACTGTAGGCTGCGAAAGTACCTTAAACGTGATATCATGAAATATCTGTAGGCATAGTATGTCAGGCTTACATAGTGATTTCTTGGTGATAAATATAAATGTTTTCAGACGTCGAGTCAACATTGTATATCAGGTGTGTTTATACCGTCACTAGCCTGGAGTTAATAATGGTATATTGTGCCATCAAACGAGACTGAAAAAATGAAATGAGTAGAAATTAGCTTTCAGTTTCCAACTTTTGACGTTAAAATAAGTGAGTTAAATAACTGTTTCTTTTCTCTAAAATTTAAATGATAGGGCTTGAAGTCTTTAAGGAAAGGTCAATTATACAATTTATCTTTTCGTTTCCAGACCAGAAACTCTGAAAACGAAGCAAACCGTGGTTATATTCACATAATCAAAATCTACGTTGGATTCAAAGCTAATTAAGTGCCGCCTTCGCTAAGAGCGGTCCTCTCGACTTCCCGTCGAAAAAAGGTTTTCTTTTATTTTTTGCCAATGAAAAGGGTTTAGGACACGTGTTTCAAAAATAGTTTAGTTGTACTCCAGTTCTCTCTTTTTGCGTTGCCACAAGCCAAAAATGATTTTTAGGCTAGACCACCCGTGTGGACAGCGATTGAAAATGTAAAGGACACACTTTAACAAATGACGATTCTAATTCGTTACATTAACTAATTTTGGTTTCACTTTTTACAACCCGCGAAACAGGTCATAAGACAACGGGAAAAATAAACATAATAACGTCACGCAATAAATCAAGCTGGGTTTGTCCAATTGATTTTGATGGTCGCAAGGAAATGTTGAGTTTGTCACTCAAAACCGTTGTGGTCCATAACAACGTAAAATAATTAATGATGTGAACAAATTTTCAGAAAGGAGGGCTGATTCATTGCGTTCTGTGCGCTAAATCTCGGGAGAAACTGCAAGAATTATGCGGGTATCAGCGGCCATCCCGAGGGGTCGACCCCCGGGCACCCAGGGGCATTTGTCACAGCTGCCGTGACAAATACATGCTAAAGCCCCTCGGGTAGGGCAAAAAATTGGGACAAATACCCCCACCCCTGGAGCAACCTGGGCAACATATAGTCGGTGTTGCCTGTTCCTCGATGCAAAAGTACGAGTGATCATGGTTTACTGACGCCACATCAGCACTAAAATCCACACAAGTCTCTATGGAGTCCTCAAATTCGAGCTTTCTGGGGCAAACTTTCTTGGCTTGCGGTTGTTCATCACACTGTCTCTTCCTATCGGCAAAACGCTTCGAATGCGAACTAACCGTATGAAATTGAAATCTCGATGTCGCTTTCCTTAAAATGCAATGAACAGATTCTTGGATCGCCGAGTGTCTTGAATTTTTTATCCGCTCGCTTACAGAAAACCTCCCACTTCTTACGCTCATTGGGCCTTGTAGGAAAGCAAAAATAATAGCAGATTACGTGCAAATCCCGTGGGTATGGCCCCGGGGTATTTTGCCAAAAATGCAAAAGCGCTCTAATGCCCCGCGTGCGGGGCATGCCTTTGCTACAAATCCCCAGCTAAGCCCGTGGGTTGCCCTTGGGTTGCCCGGGAGTCGACCCCTCGGGATGGCCGCTGATACCCGCATTATTGCAGAGTGTATGCGTGTTGTTTTGTAACTTTGTAAGACTGTAACGTATTTCAACTTGTTTGTATGTCCTTTAAGCTACGCGATATGTCTGTAATGACCAGAGCACCACATCTCATTCTTAAATTTTGATCTTCTCCACACTGTGTGTAGTTCATGACCTGATATTTCAACGAAGATTATCGAGAAGGCGCTTTACGATCACCCTTGTTTACTTTGTAAGTCACGCAAGCGTTCAAGCGTTACGACCGATCACGTTTACGCAACGTTTAAGGACAACTCGGCTTATACGGCATGTATTCTCCATTCGGTTGTTATGAAAACCTAAGATCCTCAACGTAGAAGATAAACAAACGAAGTTTGAATGGTCTAAAGGAGATCTTGGTCAATTTTTAAAATTATGCAAATGATCTTTGACATGAGCGCAATTGAGCAAACACATGGATTTGCGTTGTTTTTAAGAAGTTGGTGGATGAAAGTTAGTGATATTCCCGCGTGTTTGAGGCAATCGGTGACCTTATTGGTGTATAAAATATGCGCAGACATGCTTTTTTAGCCCGATTAACGCCTGCATTTTGAAAATTCTTTCGTACAAATTGGTGAATTTTTGATACGCAAATTAAGATCAAAGAGAAGGGTGTCCCCCACGCTAGTATGAAAAATATTTCAGGTGAATTTTCCATATTTTGTCTGTGAACTAACTGAATACATCTTGTAACCTGTAGAAAGATAGAATTCCGTGAGCCATACTATTACAGTCGCTATGCGCTCGACAAAATCTGTGAAATTTATACTTTTGTTCGCTGTCCAAACGGGTGGTCTAGCCGAAAAATCAGTTTTGGCTTGGGGCGACGCGAAGAACAACTAAACAATTTTTTAAATATGTGTCCTAACCCCTTTTCATGGGCAAAAAATAAAAGAAAACTTTTTTTTCGACGATAGGTCGAGGAGACCGCTCATAGTGAGAGCGGCACTTACGCATCGAAAAACTGTTTCTGAGAATAAGTGAAGTAATTAAAAACCGGCCTAAATACGTAAAAGTGTTTGTTTTCTTAGCAATTTCTAAGTAAAACGAAAACTGTGTATTTTTTTTTTCATTGCTGCGATAAACAATGACCGAAAATTGTCAAATTGACTCGAATCAATGATGCAAAGATATCCTTATGGGATTCATTTGTCCTAATTTAATCTATTTTGTTGTTTGCAAGAGTTACGTGAGATCAAGCCGAAAGCAGTGACAAGGACATAAATGAAAATCTATACGAAGTTTTGCGTGACAGATCTTTTAGGCGGTTAATGTTATGTTTTGGTTTCTCGGAAGCTTTTCAGATTTTGGGAATTGAATCGACTGGATTTCTCGAGAGGATAAGAGGTAACTGAATACAACTTTGTTGCACTAGATTTTGAAATTTTCGTTGGCGATCGATCCATTTAAAGCGTACTTTTTAAGGTATATCTGAGACTTACATCTATCTTGAAGAACAGTACTTGATATTAATTCGAAGAAAGAAGAAAAGTAAATAATTTCAGTTTCTTCGAACCATATCTCATGATTTTTATGAGATTTATATCCTGCTAAAGGGGTCTGTGCCGGCATTTTACATCCTTAATTTACTCACGGAAGAAATTATAAATCTAGATGATTGCAAGAGAGGTTTAATTGCAAACGGCCGTTATAGTGTTTATGTACCTCAAGTTGATTTTCACTTCGTCACTCATTTGTACTCGTCGCAGTTAGAGAAAGGTAGTCTTCACGACTCTAGTCAGATTTTCAAGTAATTTTGACCATATTAAACCTTGGACGACTCCTTTTAATACTTTTACTCCAACACACTTCGCGGAAGCATTAAGGTTTAAGAAGCAAGTCACATTGGTGAGCCTCAACTTACCTCGGTTTACTCGTCGATACAGCAGCGAATCCTATGACACGCTTCGGGAGTTTCTTGCTGTAAAATGATTCAAGAAGTCTTGCCCTTTGAAATAATGATGAGATAGCAATTTCGTAAACAGGAAAACTTTCACTTTCTAAGACCATGCATGCGCAATTCTACTTTATCAAAGGGTATTTCCCCGAAAGTTATTTAAATCCTCGAAACACCTGAGGATGACAACACATGACAACAGCTAAAAATAGCAAATACTAATGAAACCATCATGCACTGGTGGCGTGATCACCTTTCTTTGAAGATCCACATGCAGGCTAAAACGGAACACTTTCGTTTTCGAAGAAGGCTCCAAATATTTCAATGTAAGCAAGTTTAAGCCAAGTAACAGGTGAGCTGTTTCACTTGAGGATTTATCTGTGCAACTGCGATTACTTTGTTTTAAAAATATGCCTCAAATATTTCAAGTCAGATGTCTTCGATAGAACTTTAAATATGGCTTAAAAATATACGGTCTGCTACACATGCAATAATGTTAGTAACATGTAGTTCTGATGCAGCTTGAAAAAAATTCAGGGTTGGGGTTTTAAAGGGAGATAAATATTACCGTGGAATAGAATAATCTTAATTTCTTTTGCGTAGTGGTTGTGGACATATCACGCTATTCTGCGGATAAACATCACTGAGAATTCGTTCATTTCGCTTGGACCAGACTTTCTGCTTCAATTTACCCCAAACTCAGCGAGAAATTTCATTATTTAAACGCTTTCTGGTTAAGAGGATTCAATTTGTTCATAAACATTTCGTTCTCCACTGAAATGAGTAACGAAGTTTCGCATATGTAAAGCGGAAGTAGAGGTCAATCACTAGAGGCTGCTTTCGTTTTTAATTTGGGAATAAATTAATTCGGGAACAAATTGATTCAAATCCCTGGAACTTTCTTGGAATCCTTTAAACATTTTTGAGATGACAGTCATTAGTTAACCATTTTGGCAATTGTTGAGGTTTGCAAATTTGACTTGCATCGTACAGACAATTCACGTGTTCACTAACCAAGACGACCTCTCTTAGAGTTAGTTTTGAAATGCAGATTACGGTAGTTGAGTTTGCCATTGTTGAGAGACAACCTTTCCTCTCTCTCCAAACGGGGAAACATGATAAGTGAATATAATGATTTGAAGAATGGATGCAGTTGTCAAAACAATCTAGGAGCAAAGTGATTTTTTTCCCAACCCAAATATACTGCGGTAGCTTTGAAATTTAGAGCTCTCGACAACAGATGGCAAGAATTTTCCTTTGATTTACAATGTTTATGTTAATCTGGGAAAGGTTTTGGTGGTTAGGTGCATATACACTTAAAAAAAAGGAACCAAGAAGATGAAATTCACTGATTCGCATTAAAAAGGTGAAAATTATAGAATTACTCGCAGACACTCTACTGATAAAATTAGTAAATTTCATATTCCTATGTTTCTGTTTCATTAATCATCCAATATAACACTTTTCAAATTATTTAAATTTAAAGGAAATACAATTACCGCTTTGGATGACAAAATCGTGTAAAAGAAACAAAGAATCTTCGCCTTTTTAATATACTAGCAAGATGTCGGAAAACTGCGCCGTTCCCCTCTGCCTCCCAAACAACTGCAAATGGGACGAGCAGACGGGGGAATACAGCACTAACGAAGAAGAAGAAAGAACCAGCCTCTATGTTGTGAATGCTGCCCTGGAACGATTGAGGAGTGTTAAAGGTAAGTTTTGGATTGCTTGAGAATGATCATAGAATAATATTATTACCCTGAAAGTGATTTTACGGAGCTAAAAAGGCTATTTTGTGGCGAGAGATTCGTGCCTATGCATATAGCATTTTAGCTGGATACAACATGCTTTTTGTAATGTGTGATCTGGATTTTGTTGTAGGTCCAGTGTGCGTTGTATCTATTGCTGGTCCATGTAGAAAAGGGAAATCTTACATCTTGAGTAAAGTTTTTGATCAAGGCGAAGTTTTTCCCCTTGGACATGAGTTGGACCCAGAGACTATGGGCATATGGTTGTGGATTGTACCAGAAAAATTTCAGGTAAAATACTTCTTATCCGTATATTTCTTTTTTAAGACCTTTTGAAAAGGGAATGAACTAGCTTCAAATAAATTCTGAAAAAAAATAATGTTGGTGTTATTGATAAAAATTAGAATGATAATCCAAATAAAAAGCGAAAGCAAAGAGAACAAAAGGTTGATTGCAAGGTATTCATATTCTCTTGCATAAGTTTCTTAGCAGTGTTCGCTGCTGATCCCAGATAAATTTGTATTTTGAAGTAACTTGGTCTACATCTAGTCTTAATCAAAACAGAAATATTGATGAACACCAAAGAATATTACTTATCGTAAAATACTACATCTTTGTGTAATCCATTTTTGTTTGTCTTTCTGCTGTTGTTGCTGTTGTTATTTATGTGGTTGATGTTGTTTTCTGCTGTTGATGTCACTGTTGTTGTAATAATGGCTGCTCTCAGGCTAGGAGAAGCTAGCTGAGGGTCTCGTTTATAGTCAAACTAAAATTATGGCAAGAGAAATTTTACTGTATCTAATATCAAATGTTACATTTTAGTTACCAATATTTTTTCTCTCAGTTTTTTGTATCTTTGATGTTGTTGTCTTCCTTGTGATATTTTCTTCGACGTAAAAGGTTCAGTTGCTATATTATCAATACCCACAGGACGCCAGCGGACAGGAATTCACAGTGGTGTTATTGGATTCAGAGGGAATAGATGCCATATCTGGGGATCATTCTGACGATCACTGTATTTTTACACTGACCATCCTTCTGGCCTCAGTATTGATTTACAACTCTGCTGGTGTACCGACAAGGACTGATCTTGACGGACTAGAGTATCCTTGATCGCTGAGGTGTTTCGTTTTGTAAGCCAACGTAAATGAAATCGGAAAGCTGCCGTTCATAGTATTTTATATAATAAGCTCAGTTATGTACGCATTCTGATTGGTTCTCACTTATGATCTATTAGAGGACAGACGTATAGATGACGTCATCATTAAAACTTTTTTTCCGTATATTTTAATTCTTTATTAAATAAAACAAATAGATTCCAAGTTGCCGTGCGTCTGTTCAGTAATAGATCACAGAGGACGTCAAAATGTGATAAGAACATCAGTGACATACTCGGCTGCGCCTCGTGTGCCACTTTTTTGTTCTTACCACATTTTGACGTCATCTGTGACCTATTACTGAACAGACGCACGGAAACTTGGAATCTGTTTGTTAAATAGAGCTCTTCTCTAGACCACACGGAGAATGTGGATCCATTTTTAGACTACAGACTGCTGGGTAGAAGAATAATATGGATAGATCACCGAATACGATGAACTACGATGCGTCCCTTCTAACTCTCGTTGATTGAAAAACTTATTTTAAAATTATATTTGTCTGTTGATGCTCTCTTGACTTTAAAACTACTCTCAGCTACATTGTGAAGCTGTCACAGCGAATTCAAATTTTTTCAGGGAGTGAAACGTCAGATGTAGCCAAAGCTTCTTTAGAAGATGATAATGCAAAAGCCTTTCACAAGACTTTTCCTTTCTTCGTTTGGTTGCTTCGAGATGTTGTTCTTGCCCTCCCTAAAGGTTGCCATAGTATAAAGGATTACTTCTTGACCAAGGTATAATCAATAAATCTATTCAAAAAAATTTATGTATCTCAGTTCGAGGGGAACTGATCTTCAAGATAATCGTATTTATATATATTTTTTATCTTCCTTACTTGTTCTCAAGGAAATTGCCTCAGAAAATAACATAGTTTCCACTACCTTATAAAAAAATTTTTTTTCCCCAAATTTAACATTCCACAATAAAAGATAAAATGTCATTAGTTGCACAGTAACATTTCATAGACAGTACTTCATTTCTGAAATAAACCAAAGTATCTTGAAGGTAACGACACATAATCTGCTTCAGTAGAAACAGTCTTTTTTAAAGAAAGAGATGTATACTTGTTCCAGGTATTCAAGACTTCTGGGCCGAAAGCTGACAAAGCAAAAGAAGTGGCAGAGAGCATCCTCAGTTATTTTCCTGGATTTGACGCCTTCAAGTTGCCACCCCCTTCGTCTGATCCTGATGTGGTGTTAAACCTCAACAGAGATGAAGTACAAGATGACGTTAACAAGTCCTTCATTCGTGGAGTCGATGAGTTTAAATCAGTAATGAGGTCTAAACTGACTCCAAAGCACAGCTTTAACGAGGCAGAGTTTGTGACTGGTGAAGGTAGAGTACTGAGAAAAATTTTAAGTTTTGCTTTGCTTATCCATAATTATGATCCTTTGGAATCGACAGACCGCCTGACTAACTGACTGACAAAAACATCCAGATGCAGCTCGTTAATTTGTCCACGAGTAAGTCTTTAAATGTTTGGGAACACCTATGGAACTTTGTAGTGAGAACATTATCATTAAGAATGATAAAAATTTCCACACTTTGTAGTGGAACAATTGATGCCGTTACTTCTTCATTTACATTGCTCAGTTTCTACTGGTTTATGTCCCTCCGTTAAGACTCATTTGTTTAACCGACAGTCTTATAAACGAGTGTCGAGTTCTAAAACTTGTGAGAGTGACAAAATGAACGAACTTTTTAGCAATCAGAAACGTAAACATTTCTACAGGAAAAATCTTCAAAGGCGACGAATTAAGAACAAACTATTGTACTAAATTGAGCAATGATATTAAAAGTTCGGCTGGAATGTAAACATAATTTTGATTCCGATGCAATTTGTGGATAGAAAATAAGAAACAAAAAAAAAAAAAGAAAATTGAAAGCTTTCGGGAAATCTATTTCTGTCATAGGAAAATTCCTGACAATAGCGATAAGTGCGGACAAAATAGAGACATGAAGGGGCACTTAGATTTTCTTCATGATGTATCGTCTTGTTTTGATACTGTTTAGCGCTCGCCACCATGGTAACAAGCTACATCACTGCTTTAAACACCCCAGGAACAGTTCCCAATGTCCAAAACGCCTGGGATGTCTTTGTCTCGACCAAATGTACCCAGGCCAAAACGGCTGCCGTTGAAGAATACGACAAAGAAATGGAAATGGAAATGTCTGGAAAACTGCCGTGTGAGAGAGACATCATCCGTCAAGCTCAGCTGGCAGCTCTTAAGCGAGCACTGAAAGTGTTTGAGGAAGAGACGTTTGGAATATCCACCGCTAATATAGAAAAGTACCTAAACGAGTTAACGGTTAGTAGGATTTCCTACACTTATGTGCTACTGACACTTGAAAACAACTTCGGTTGTTTTATACTCTTGAGTTATTAATTTTTTCTCGAAAGAGAGGATTATTTGCAGTGCGAAATAAATATGTCTCTCTTCCTGAGAATCACCATCGTAGTTTTTATCAAGGGGTCGTATGGAGGTTTCTCCTTACGTGAACCAATGTTCAGTAATTACCAATAAAGCTCCTTGAGAGCAGCAAAACTGCCTATGAGTGATGAACTATCGATAAATTTTACCGGCACTGCAAATGACACAACATATTACTCATTGTAAGATTCTCTTTGTTAACAAATTTTGGATAGGCGTACATGGAAAATGGCTTGAATAGCTGGCAAGAACGAAACACCCAGCTTACCAAGGACAGCTGTAAGCAGCTGCTGATTGGCCTTAAGCATCATCACCTTGATCCAGTTCTGATTCAACTGAGGGGAAAGGATGGCGCAAAAGTTTCGTTTGCTGAAGTAATGGGCTGCTACAGCGCTATCGAGCAAGGATTTAAGGCAGAGGCCACCGGAGCAGAGGACGTTTGTGCGCAAGTCTTTCTTGATTTCCACCCCGTGAGTCACTTGCACTAATCCAAGATTCTTTGATTGAGTGTTACGAAAACATCGACGGCCAATCAAAACAATTAAAAGAAAATATCACAGGGAGCCAGAAGTATATCAAAATAAACGCATATGACATTTTTAAATCGCGAAAAATGTCTATGGTTGAGCCGCGACTAGGTTTAATTTTGCATATGTTTGGCGTCAGTTTTCCAGATCAATTTTAGAATCAAGAAATGAAAAAAAATGCAATTAATTGAGGTACTAACATGAAATCTGTCCTGGATCGACACCTTTTCTTCTAGAAACAAGACACGACGAGAGAGAAGGACGTTGTAGCGGGGTTAAATTATTGATTAGGGTCTATGTATATTTCATGATCATCACTGATGCTCTCTTAATCTATACGGCTCCGGCGTTAAATTGAAAATTGATTTCATTTTATTAACTACGAGCTTTATACTACATCACGCATGTTTAGATATTAGCGATTTTTGCTTAACTTTATTTGCTTTCTTTAATGCAGGAGCTGCAAAATGAGATGGAGAAGCACATGGAACATTTGCAGCAACTTAAGGATTTTGACGAGAACCTGGCGTACGAAAAAGAAGCGAGGGCACAAGAAATGGAACAAAGAAAGAGAGTTGAGGTATAAAAAACAAGCAGATAAACTTAGCAAAAATGAACAAACGACGACGAAAAAGAAAGCCGCTAAGTACCATTGACAAAATAAATCGTACTCACTTGTAGCATGTGAAAAAAAAAAGCGTTCCTTGGACTGTACCATGTGAAGCTTTGCTCATTAATCTATCTACGTATATGTAGTTGTTAATTCATTATCATCATCTTGTGTCTTTGATGTTTAGGAGGAGAAGGCACGTCTGGAAGAAGAACGAATTAGAAAGGAGAAGGAGGTGTGCTCAATTTTTTTCTCTGTAGTAAACTGTGAGAAGAAAAAATTGAAACGTTAGCGTGTTGTTGAGACTTAGTTTTGGTTTTCCTCAAAGGAGAGGGGTCAAGAAGACCCAATGACTCTTCTCTCAATGGCTACGTTGCTCGCTTCCAATCAAACCCACAAATACTTATAAAGACTTGATATAGTGCAGACAAAGAACAATTCAAATAGCTTTGTGTTTCTGTTTTTGAGCGTCATGTGCTTGCTAAAAAGGTGGTGTTCTCTCACGAGCTTTTTGCTTTTTGCAAAACGTCTGTTACTGGAGTTGTCTGCAAGGCCAAGCTATGCTTAGAAACGTCCCTTTAAATTAAAACTGTCTTTCGCGACTTTTTGCTTAAAACTTAACCATTTCATAACAATGCTGCGTATTGCATAGGGGTAAAGTTTAGAAGTGATCCATTAATTGTCCTTTCATTAACTAGTCTATTTTCTTCAATTTAGATGGAGCTTTTAAAAGTGAAACAAGAGGAAGATAGACGACGCCTGGAAGAACAACTGAGATCCGACATGGAAGATCAGAGGGAGCAAATGCAGAACATGATGAGAGCAAACATGGAGCAGTTGCACAGAGAAAGACAAAACGTCGTGGATCAGAACAAGACACTGCAGGAGGCTCTGTCGGGCATGCAACGCTCGATGAATGAAAGAAATGATCAGATAAAAAATCTTCAAAGGCAGATTCAACAAATTGCAAGCAGACCACCACCATCACCACCCCCAAAAAAGAAGGGATGTGTTGTCATGTAAACAAAATCTGCAGCATGATCAGATTAACATGTACGGGTGATGGAAAAAAAAAAGTTTTTTAACCCTTGATAAACTTTGTCTGGAACTTTTTATTAGTAGAGAAACAGAAATAAGTTTTGGAAGAGGAAGAATATGCTGTATTTAGCCGTTGAGATAGTGCAATATACATCCCGTTTTCAACTATTTTAAGATAGCTCTCTCCATAATGATTTTGGGACATCTTTACTGATTATCCGTCTGCGCAAACGAATAAAGAAATAACCAGAGTTTAAAATGATGGCATTCGCTATAAAGCTTGTCAGTATGAAAGGATTTGACAACCTAGTATGTTCATCCTCTCTTGGAGAGCGTTATCCTTTTGAACGTATCACTCCTTTCCCAGCTACAAAGGAAAAAAATCAAATTCGGGCCTGAATGGGGTTTGAACCCATGACCTCTGCGATACCGGCGTAGCAATCTACCAACTGAGCCAATAAGCCAACTGGGAGCTGGTCATTAGGCAGTTCACATATATGATTTTCATATATTTATGGTCATTTATTCATCACCTCACGGGTTGTATAGAACCAAAATAATGACCAGCTCTCAGTTGGCTTGTTCGCTCTCAGTTGGCTTGTTAGCTCTGTTAGTAGAACATTGCACCGGTATCGCAGAGGTCATGGGTTCAAACCCCGTACAGGCCTGAATGAATTTCAGGCCTTATTTTCACTACCGCTCAAGTAGTGTTCACTACTGCGAGGACCACTTTCATATCCACGTCTTTATCCGCAGTTCATATCTATAGTTTTCATATATTAACAATCAAAAAAAAAAAAAACAAAGCAAAACAAAACAGAGAGAAAAAAACAAAAAAGTGATGCTTTCCCTTAGTATTTTTCATTACTGTAGTGATGGCGTTCTACAAGATCATGGAATAAACACTCCCTTGAACTATAGCAATAGATCACGAGTAAAGCCTGTCAAGAGGTAAGATTTATGAAGTCTTAACTGTTTTTACGTGCCTCATGCACATTTTGTTGAGTTCAACCAAAAAAAAAGTTAACCTTAGTTTGTGCTCGGTACGTTTTATTACTCGCTCGAAGTGGCGTTTGTCTCTTCAGTAAAAAAATACTTTGTCATCGAAACAGATCTTAACTAAAGCCTGCTGTGAGGTTAGTTGATTTAGAGAATCTATATTGCTCGTACGTGCTACTATGCATTTGTGCGTTTTTCAGTCTAATACTGAGTTAAGATCAACTTGGTAATCATTCGTGTGAACGAATACCCATAGACGGTGATATTGTTTAACGATGAAATTGGTTCCATTGAAAGTAACCGTGTAAGCAACATTTTTCATTTGCAAAAATAAAAGAGTGAGAAATACATGATATTATGCAACGCGGAATTATTTGTATTTTTTTTTTTTATATCGCAGACTACTCGAGCGCAAAGCTTTAATAGGTATTCCTGCAGTGTTTAAATAACACTGAAATCGCAATATATCCTCTTTCCCTTCACCTCAATAATAAGTGGTGTGCATTGATAAAGTTAATAAAGTTGGCATAAGATAAAACTGACTATGAGGAGAATGGATTAGATAGCTCTAATATTCTTGATTTTATCATGCATTTACCCAAATGTTTCTTTCCTAATTGGTCAATGAGGATTGCACAACAAGAGTAATAGAAAGTAAGCATAATTGGCAGGCCCGGTTAGTATTCTTTTGTACTCACATAAATTAGCTTAACTAGAGTCTCGTCTTTGAGTTAAAACGTTGTTGTTCCTTAGACATACTGACGAGGCTACCTGAGCTAATCTACATGAATACAAAACCGGAATACTAATCGTGTCCGCCATTTTTGTAAAGGGTTCTATGAGCAGGGTTGTCATAGATGACGCTTACTGTACAATCTTCTCAAGCTTTTCACGAAGATCAAACGTCAGTTTTTTCGAGGAACATTAACTTTGGTTTGAGCTAGTTTTTTCACTTGACCAAATTCATTCACACTCATCCACTGAGTATGGCAATGCCATGTGGTACATTTTACAAGTGTTACAAAAACTTATTTTCATCATTAGTAAACAGCTCATAGAAACCAGCACATCTTAACGTTGCATTCTTGATGTAATATAATCCGACTGAAGATTAACGACACCGTCTGCAGAACACTTAATTCATATCCATACCCTTGGGCAGCTACAAAGTATTCACGATTTCTAACATAAAGCAAATAAATCATGAAGTTACTTGAGTATTAATGATGTTGATAATGCACGTTTTGGAGCGATTATTACTTTCTGAAATAGAAAATGCTTCTTTTCAAGACGACGAACTTTTTTCTCGGGCATGGTTTAATGAAAGCGTAAAGATTAGTGCTTTTTTTTCTTTTTTTGAAAAAATCTGATCTTACTCAGTCAGAACTCATTTTTCATCATTCGTGCAACCATTTGAACACTTGACTGTTATTATGTATTGAGTATTGGTTCATGATATTTTTGTTCTATTAATGTTGATACCCTATCAGTTGATAATAATGACTTTTAAGCTCAGTGACTTTATCAGTGTTAGCTTTAAAGTTTTTTTTTTAGTTTGTTGTTTTGCTCTTTTTTGTGTGTTGCTTTGTTTTGCTTTGTTGTTGTTCTTTTTTTTTTCGCGTTAACACGAATTAAGCCATTTGGCTACAAATCTGGCGATTCCACAGGGAACGAACAAAATAAGAAAATATTGCCGAGGTAGCAAATGAATTTTGATATATTTAGATTTAAAGATTGGAATGAAAATAAAGGAGATAGATTTATTTAACCTACCGGCAGTAAACGACAAGCATGTGATTTATAAAAAGTGCTCAGTTACAGTGAAACCTGCCTATTCTTTCGCTAAGGTTTGCGTAGTGATAGAAAGTGCAAGTCGCTCCATGTATATATTTTTTTTTCATGAACCAGATCTCGTCTTCCTAATATTTAACTATTGCATGGGCGGTCTGGTATAAATGATGCTACATTACCATCATTTCACGCTGTCACTAACTATTACTTTCATAATGACGTCTGCCCAGCAGGAAACAACAAACTAGAATAATATAAGTCATTTCATTGCCAACTTTATTTGATGTTGTTTTTCAGTATAAGGCCACCGTTACATTCAGATCACTATCAAAAACAGCAAAGAATTATTGTTGTTGACATAGTTCTCAATTTCTTCACAGTATATCTATATAAATTAGTTAGTTTTATGCATTCTCTATCATTAATAGACTTTGTAGTCAATATATGCAGCTTTCATTTTATGTTAAAGAATTTCTTGATTGCATCCATCACTTCTCTCATGCGGCATATATAAACCAGCGGATGCAGGGCCGATGTAAAAAAGATAAACGTTACTGTAAGGGTGTACATAATTTTAGCATGTTCTACCCCTTCTGTACAAACGTAAGCTTTACAAAAGCTGACGAAAACAACCGGGACATAACAAGCAATGATAAGAGCAACAATGAATGCCACGGTGCACGCATACTTTTTGAGGCGACAAAAATCATAGAGGCTTCTCTGAGAACCACGGCGATCGCAGACAGTCAGTTGGTCTATTTGGATCTGATGACGTCGCACTAGTACAAGTATTTTTATGTAGACTGTTACGATAACGAGGAGACAAAGCAGTTTAGAAGCCTTGATGATGAAAAGAAAAGTCTTCGGGTCTAACCATAATTTTGTTACAGTTATCGAGAGAGACAGAATCCACGAGAATAACACTGCTCCTGTGATACGCCTGTTGGTGATGACTTCCTTATATCGAAGGTGAAGGTGAAGCGATAAATATCGATCAATAGTCATAAAAGTCAGTATGACGAATGACGCACTGAGCGTTGTTTGTGAAGTAAAGTCGTAAGCCGAACGCAGAACACAATAAGATTCAAAATTTCTTGTGATCTCTGCTATTTTGAAAGCAACAAAAGCTGGCGCTGCCAAAAATCCCAACAGGAAGTCACAAAAGGCGAACCATCCAAGGAGAATATTCGCTGGCTTGTGAAGTGATTTGGTTTTACAGAGTACGGCCACAATAAGAAGGTTTCCAAACGATGAAAATATAGCAAATGAAGAGTTTAAAACACACGCGATAACATTTACGATGAGTGTGGCCGAAGACTCGAAGATGGGAGCGTTGAAGTAGAAACAAGTCACCGAGGAAACTGTGTCCGTTTGATCCTGATTAAGCAAAGAGGAACTGGAGGCGTTCATCGCATTATCTTCCCACGAACAGCACTATTCAATATGATTACCAAACGAAAAACTCCAGATTTCAAAACTACACAGCTACCTTTATAAAATGCAGTCCTACATATTGGTCTCAAAGTGAATGTTGTCCATATAATAGATTTCTCCCAAATTACGAAGTGCCTCTTGACGACATTGATTTATGGAATAAGAACTAATCCGTTTCACTCGGTCAGTTAATTATAAACAGGTGATTCGAGAGCTCATTTACGTAAGTTTTGATATTGTTTCTGGCTTAACCTGCTTCTTTTCAAGGAACTTTTACCACACGATTAGGAACATTAGTTTAATAGCTGTGACGAGAAATGATGGTTGTTGAGGTTTAGAGAGTTCTATTAATAAAATCGATATTTCTTAAATATGAAATAATTTCTCCTTCAATGAGTGAGTTGCCAGTAATCGGATCCTTGTGTTTGTGCAAAGGTTTTTGGGATCGCTACGGGGCAAACCTTGCAGCTCGTTGGAAACATTGCAGCTTGCTGGAAAGAATGTGTGGCGAAAGGTTGTTTTGACATCCGAAAAAAACGTTTTGGCGAGATATTATCACTTTTTCACCGCAGTTTTGTCATAGAGGGATAAAGACAATCTTAATACGAGGGAAGTGTGAGTTTTTGTTAGAATTACCACGAAATATGTTATAAAACGTACCGATTAACTCCTCTCTAGACCTTGCGTAAGATCTAATGTGAAATCGCCATCGCGTAATAGTCTTGACATAAATTATTACAAAATTGGGCATAAATTGCTAG